AAGGACAGCCTGCTGGGCAGCAGGAGAACACTGGAGGCTTTTGAGTAGCCAATCAGTTGATACTTTGAATATTCCTCTATGGAATTGCAGGGAGTGACTGGAAGTGAATCAAGGCTGCCAAAATGAGGGGCTTTTTTGAAGGGACCTATTTATTTCCCTTGATAGTTAGAGGACAGAAGAGTTATAGATACGATATTTGATTTTCAATGTGTTTCATCTCTGATGATGGTAAAACTGTTTGAACTGATGGAATTTTCCAAGAATAATAGTGGCTTTTGATGGAGAGCAATTAGGAAGAGACTAAGTGTTTCCCAATATTTGGAAATTTTTCAAATAGGATTCTCATTGAAATAGAGTTGTTATTTTCATATTTCTTTTCTTAGATTTAAAAAGCAATTAACTAATTTGTTATCTTCAAGCGCAATAATAAAGCTAAAAAGTTATTTTATGATCACGGTGCCAGATAGTATGTGATTGTAGCTAATACATTAGGGTAATCCAACTTTATGAGGTTTTCCTAATCTTAGAGATTGTTTTTATCTCCTTTTAGTTAATGTACAATCAGTTTCTGAGAAGATCAATAAAGCCAAGAAGGAAAAGTCAGAACTTGTAGAAGAAATATACATTTGGGAACAGAAGGTATCATTGTCTTTTCAATGTTTTAATTTTTCATGGTTTCACTTTAAATAGCTCCTTCCTCCCACAATTCTGTTATTTTGCTCTTTCCTCTTCCATCTAGTGTCCTAGTTCACATGGTCTATGAACTGTCTACATTCAAAGCAAACTTCATATACGTAAAGTACTGTGGTTTTCATTTTTGTTAGGAGTTACACAGTTCGAGATAGGTTTTTCTATCACTATAATAATTCTAGATTCTGATTTTTATTACATATTTATATAGATCAATGAATCAAAGAAATGTCTTCAAGAAAGTAAGAGGCAACACAAGATTCTCTGATGAAATGCTTAAGTATAAGATAAAATCCCTTGTTTGCCTGGATTACATTCTAAAAACAGAAAAAGTCATGAATAATTGTTAATGATTTAATATGTTTTATTGAAGGATAATATCAAAAACTTTGAAGGAAGTAATAACATTTTGAATGTCATTCACACTACATGTTCCCAGTTGCAGTTTGAGAAGGATCGGTAAGTCAAAAGTCTGAACTTGATAAGAATTTGGCTGCTAAATTGTACCATGATTCAACTTGGCTTTTGAGCCTTTTTGTCCATTGGGTGAATTGAGATCTACATTTTATCTTGCTGCCCATCACAGTAAAAGTGTGGGTGTCTGGGGGTTGAACCTTCTTTTGAACAATGATCTGGAATAAAAGCACTAATACCACAATGAGTTTTTATATTCACGGGAATAGGAAGTACGTCTTATTTTTACAACATAGGTAATTGTCACATCACTTGGCACTGCCCTTCAAGATATACAGAAAATAGAAAATGTATGCGTGATGAAGATATCTAGACACATTGAACAGTCTGTACCCCATTTAATGCTGAACAGAGAATATTTCAATGTGAATTGGGGGTAATTTTTTTTATGTGCCACTTTTAAAATATTCCATTAAGGAGGCCATTCCATTAAGAAAAGTTCAGTTGAGCTGTTTGTCTTGAATAACTTTGCATCGTCTCTACTTTCTCCTTGTCATCTACTCACTTATCCCATTATGTTTTAAGCAGGAATATCATGGGTGCCACAAAATGTTCGTGCCTCATGGTGTTTCTTTGCTCTTCATTTCTACATGTGCTCAACATTTCTCCTGTCTCCAAACTGGGCCAGCTACTTCCCCATAAAATACAGCAGTGACTGTGATATAGGCATGGTTGCCTATATTACAGACCACGCCTATATCACAGACCACTCAGTGCCTCTGTTGAAATCCTGGTACATGTTTTGTTTCTAACCCATGCGCAAAAGTTGGAAACAAAAGTCTACAAAGAACTTGAAAGATATTATTTCAATGAACACCTCAGGAATTTCACAGGTAAGTGACCCACATCTGTGACAAGACTTTCATTACATCTTAGCTATGAGAAGAACCAATATTTCATGTCTTAGAAGATTAAAATCATATGACAGCCACATGGAATTCTTCCCTTGTGGAAATTAAGTCATTAGTGAGAATATTTTGTGTCAGGTTCAAACTGGCCTTAATGAAGCTGGTGTCACGGAAGGGAAAGTGGAATCTGAAGTAGGCCAGGGACAAAAGGGAGGTATCGCCCTGTAGATCAAGAAGGAGCAGGTGGTGAAATCTTACAAATTATAGAACTCAGAGACCTAAATGTAATTACTTCCTTTTCAAATTGTTAAACATTTTTACCTACGGTAAAATATTCATAACATAATAATTACCATCTTAACCATGTTTAAGTGTACAGTTGAGTTGTGTCAAGTATACTCATGTTCTACAATTATTTTCTAAATGCCTTCTCTCAAATTTGTCTTAAAGTCACAAAATGTAGATGACAGATTGAAGGATTTACAGCTGAGACCCTGGAGGTCCAGTAATTGTAACCTGGAAATTATGTTATTCGTTGGAGTCCCCATAGCATGGAAATGAGTTTGCCCTGGGTTGATGAAGAATGACTTCCTGCCTTCAGATTTCTCACCTTCTCTCCCCACCCTAACCAAGGTCTCAGGTACACTTGCATGCACACAGAGAAAATGGTTTTATCCTTTCCAGGAATGAAAAACGACCTGAAAGGCCTCTTTGCTTCACAAAGGTCTATGGAAGCAGAAGTGCAAGCTGAAATAAAAAGATGAAGATGAAAGTAGATGGTCTTTACAAAACCTACAGACAAAGAAAGACTACTGAGGAAGAGTAAGATGCCAATGTGTTCATTGACACGAATGCTGCTTTATGAACAATGTGTCAACCAAAGCAGACAGCTATAATTTCCGTTAAAATATTTTATGCAATATTTGTGGCAAATTAAGTCTTTACAAAATTGTGCTTGTCCTTCCTGCCATGATTTCTGTAATCTGCCTATTTCCTTTCCCTTCATACATTCTTTTTTTCTTTTTTTTTTTTGAAACGGAGTTTCGCTCTTGTTACCCAGGCTGGAGTGCAATGGCGCGATCTCGGCTCACCGCAACCTCTGCTTCCTGGGTTCAGGCAATTCTCCTGCCTCAGCCTCCTGAGTAGCTGGGATTGCAGGCACGCGCCACCATGCCCAGCTAATTTTTTGTAGTTTTAGTAGAGACGGGGTTTCATCATGTTGACCAGGATAGTCTTGATCTCTTGACCTCGTGATCCACCCGCCTCGGCCTCCCAAAGTGCTGGGATTACAGGCTTGAGCCACCGCGCCCGGCCCCCCTTCATACATTCTTGTTTGTAATTGATTAGGTGGAAGAGAGGGAACGGCTACTGGCATTTTTAAATTTAATACCTGGGTCACGTTTAGATCTGTTTTCACAGTCCTTTAGGTTTTGGTCATATTACATTGCATTTTTCCTGCCACATGATTAATCATTTTTTATTAAATGTGAGACACTGTAAAAAATATTCAGAAACAAATGGAGGCCTACTAGGATGTTATCTTGCAGAAAAAAATGGGAGTCTACTTCAGGTGGATGGTCGGGGGAACTAGCAGACCTGGATTCCCTCCATCCAGTAGCAACTTAGGTCATCAGTGCAGACTCAGTCCTTATAAAGGCCAATGTATTTCATGTCCACCTTTATTCCTACCGTGTGACTCTTCTGGATCCCAACCAAAGCCACTGAACTTCAGTAGGGGTCACCTTCATTGGCAGACCCTCAACTCCACTTGTTTTCCATCCAATCCCACGCACTGTGCAAACGCTGCTCTGGTTCTTTACATCTCGGTAGTGCCTTCTGGAATTAAGCAGTGAAACTCAGGGAAATAGGCCCCAAATGCTAGGCTGATCTTTGTCCTGGGTTTTCTTCTCCATCTTGGCCTCATGTCTCTTTAGTGCCAATTTAGTGTTAAGAATTTGATGCATTCAATCCTGTGTTTTATATTCTGTCTGGTGTTCTTCATTGTTCTCATGGGAGATCAGAAGCTTAATATGCACTCATCCCCACTCAAAAGCAGAACTCCTCCTTTGCTTTTTTTTTAAGATTCAAGTTTTGTGTTCCTAGTTCGCAAGTGTACAACAGGGGTAGTGGTGTTCTCACTGGCTTCTCATTTGCATTAAACTGTGAGTTCCTTTAGGGCAGGAACAGGGCCCTGCTCCCCTTGCATCCTCAGTACCTCACGACACACTCCTTGTTTTGGGCCTCTCCAGACAGCATGAAGGATGGCTTAGGTGGTCAGAAACAAGTGCATTAACTTTCTCTTTGAAGTGTTTTTGTCCCTGTTTCCTAAAGTTTTTGGAATTTTATGTATCCTTCATATGAAATCAGTTATCACATGAGATCCTTTGAATCAGATTCATGAATGAAGTAGTGTGAGGGCAACACATCAAACCTATCTTTTTAGGCTATTGCCTTTTTCTGCCTCCTCTATCAATGAACTAAACCTTGTTAAACTCAATCAACACGGGGGTTGATGGTTTGCAGTTGTCACCTATTTCCAGGACATAACACCCTGACTAAGGAGCCACCCAGATTATTTTTGATTCAGTAGATATACCTAGCACTCAGATTTTCCTTTTCTGTCAACCAGAATTTTTGAAGTCGATAACAGGAGTTCCAATCCTGAATCATGGAAACGTGCAGTAGTGAACTACAAGGTTAATGATACCGTGTCCTGGAAGGATCTCTCTAAGGCTGATTGTCTGGGTTCTGGCATCACCCTCTGACTGAGAATCAGGTTTCCTCATGGGAGGAGTCAGACAAGGAATGATCCCCTGCTCCATCCTGACTGATTTATAGTGATGAGTTGGTCAGGTCTGGTTTTCCACATTGAACTAAAATGAGCTTTCACTGTGTCAAGCATAAGACTAACCCCAGAAGGACATGTCATGCATCCCATAGAAGCTTTTTATAGTCCTTGATTTATTTACTCCTACTAGTGAGTAGGAGTATAGAGCTATGAAGAGGAACTGGAAATTACAGAGGACTTGTCTGCAGGCCTGAGTGTGATTTTTCTTTGTCCTTCAATGGGAGGCTTCAATTCTCCTTCTGGTTGTGAAGATCTGCTTGTATATATATGGGAAGGTTGGAAGGGGACTTTTGAATCACGGCCTTCAAATACTAGAAGGGAAGAAAGAAGCCCACACTGGCTACTGGATCCTGCGCATACATTTCTTTTCCTTCTCATTTCAGGAAGCTGAGATGAAAGAACGTGAGTGAGCAGCAGAGAGGCAGCTATCAGAGGCAGTGGGAAACTTGAAATTGGTAGTTGAGAAAATACACACCTACAAGTGACTTCAGTGACTGCACACCAACCTCTTGGGAAAACTCTGTTGGAGTGTTTTGTTTTTAACTTTTGTACAATGTTTGGACCCAATTAACACAGAAAGACAACCAAATGGTCAGAGGACATATTTGCAGAGAGAGAGAGAATTCACGCAAGAAAAAACAAAGTACTTTAAGATTTACCAGTGACCAAAAACTATGACTCGACTGCTGGGCAGACTGTGTGGAAATTCGGTTCACACAAACTTTTCTAGGGGTGGTCATCATCATCCTTAGGAAAGTGCATTCTGGTGGCATCAATCACATCCTTAAAAAGGACTGTGCCTGTTTATAAGCCCAGTTGTTCCTTCCCTGTGAAATATGGTAAGGATATTAGTACACGGAGAATAGAGATTTATGATAAGTGATGCTCAATGAAGGATGATTTAAGGACATACTGAGAGTAGGTAAGGAAATTGTCAACTTAGAACCCAGCAGGCATTAAATAATAGATGAGGAATCAATATAGCAACAGTTTTTTTTTAATCATACTGTACTTTTATAACCATGTGAAATGTGTTTTCTATCTATGGATATGTTGCGTAAGGGTACAGGTGTGAGGGTAACCAGAACATGGCAGATTATTTAAAATCATCCTGAAAATGGCACTTTACCTGATAAAAGTGATTCTAAACCATAGAAAAATGATGGAAGACACAGAAGAGCAGCAGAGGTAGGTAGAGAACTACTGCAGGTGCCAGGTAAGGAGCCTTCTTCCCAGCAGTTGCAGAATCCTTCAGCACTGATGCAAATGATATCGTGGTCCTTAGACTCCTTAAACATACGGTTTCTCATGTGTTGGCTTTTTCAGATCACCACTTCTGAAAGAAAGGCTCATGAGAACTGGGTAAGCTTTTTTTTTTCTTTCCTTGCTTTTGGGCATAGTCTGCCAGGTCAGGACGTGGATGTATTTTTCTCCCCACAGCTCTGTGTTTAAGCCTTGCAGAGGGAGATGGAAGAGAAGGCTGCCTACGAGCAGCACAGGTAGGTAATTGTGATGGACATTTTGAAGGATGTTTTTGTTTTAAGGGAAGCTTAAACAAAACAAAGCTTTGAGTGCCTAGTAAAGAACTTGGTATTTTAATTCTTTTTTTTTTTTTTTTTTTTTTTTTGAGACGGAGTTTCGCTCTTGTTACCCAGGCTGGAGTGCAATGGCGTGATCTCAGCTCACCGCAACCACCGCCTCCTGGGTTCAGGCAATTCTCCTGCCTCAGCCTCCTGAGTAGCTGGGATTACAGGCACGCACCACCATGCCCAGCTAATGTTTTGTATTTTTTTTTTAGTAGAGACGGGGTTTCACCGTGTTGACCAGGATGGTCTCGATCTCTTGACCTCGTGATCCACCCGCCTCGGCCTCCCGAAGTGCTGGGATTACAGGCTTGAGCCACCGCGCCCGGCCCAGCATTTTAATTCTTATTCAAGTTCACTTTTTCTCTGACTCCAAGACAGGAAATGATTGAAAAACAGAGTGCTGGAGAGACACATTAGTCAGGAGCCAGCTAGTGGACGACTAGGCCTACAGAATCCTCCATGGAGAGGTAGGAGCTCACTGTGAAGGCAGCCACATAACTTCTGCTGTACAATCCACACACTCTGCTTCTCCTTTTGAGGGTGAGGGGTCAGGGTGGAGGGTAATTGTTATGTTTCTTGGAAAGAGTTTCAAGTACTTAACTAAAGAGAACAGTTGTCTCACTAGGTGGCTGGACACAATTTTCCTCAAATGCTCAAGTCAAATGGCTCTCATCTAGTCCCCTGCGAATATTGGAGCTCAAGCCCATCAACTGACTGTAGATACCACTTTGGTTACTTTTAACTGAGGTGATGAGCCTAGAAGGGAAATGAGCCAGCTCCACTTCCCAACTTGAGTCAGTGCGAAGGCTTTATTTTTCTTTCATTTGAGAAACGCAACACCAATAACATTTTAGAACGGGAGCTGTATGTCCTAAGGAGAGGAAATTTTCTTGTTATGTCTTTGTGAATCAGTATTGTACAATGAGATATGTTTTAGGAAAAGAGGCATTTATTTACTATTTTTGGAGCTTCCTGTATTATTTTTGTTTGAAATGTTTATTGTGAAATAGACGATTCCATTAGTAATAAATTTCTATGCAATTTTACTCCTCTAACATTTTAAGTGTAACCCTAAAACTTTAAAGTTAATTCCCATAGCTCTTACCTTTTCTCATTACTATTAGTCTCTTTAAGTCCATTTCTGTTCATAAATATTTATAATACTTGGTCTGATATGGAAGTTAGATTAAATATGAATCCCAAGAATTGTGAATGTTCCCATGGCTTAAAAAAAAAGGAGCAGTGCTATTCCTGTCCAGGGTTTATTGATATTCTTTCTATCCATGGCTGCTCCTATTTTAATTTTTAGTCTGTGCTTAATTTATAAGTAGTTTCCTCTGATAGATACTGGGAACTTCTGATTTAGGGTTGATATCCAGCTAGTTTGAACCCTACCTGCTCGTAGTTAGTTGATTTCTTAAGACCAGGGCTCTGTGGTGTCCTTTTCAAGGACAAGGGTCCAGAGGGTTCCAAGGTCTTCTGTGGCATCTGATTAATAAACTCCTCTGTGACTGATAAGGGACCTGACTGTGACAAAGAGAGGTTCATGGCAGATGTGGACATGGAGGTTTTCTTATTCTGCACAGATCATGCAAGCCAGAAAAAGCCCCGATAGTTTTCTAGTCCTTAGCAGACTCACGACCTCATTCAGTTCCCGTGAGGAATAGCAGCTGCATCCCAACTGAGAACACAGAGAAGATAAAGGTCAATGCTGTGGTCATTTTCACTGTGCCTATTTCAGGACACTTTTATCTTTTCATACAGCACCCTCTCCTGGCCTTGTCTCTGGCTTGTGTGTTCTGTGATATCTTTTCTGTCTCTTCACTTTTTAAAAGGCAAAATATTTTCCATGAGGCTTCAGTCTTCTCCATTCCCAGCTGGTCATCTTTGGTGGCACTTCCAGAACCCATAAGTGCTTAAGGGCCCAGGGCTGAAGAGCTTTAACTGTTGTGTTTCCAGAAATAACATGAGAAGATGCCACTTCACTCCACTGCTGTAGGTCTCACGGCCCAGTAGTCCCTGTTTACTCAAGCTGTTGCTGGGTCCCCTCCCCCAAATATGTGGGGATTTTTTGCTGCTATTATTCTATTCTTATGGGGTAGGTGACTAACTTTTAGAATATCTGCTGTAATCTCCATAAGTGAAAATATAAAAACTCATTCATCCAGTATTAATATGTGCTTCATGGAAATCTGAATGCTCTTTGACAAAGCAAATTCCACAATTAATCACTGTCCCATCTCTGTCGGCAACTCTGTTATGTAAAAATGCCCCCTCCCCATCCAGTGGTGTCCTTGATGGAGTATTTTGTTGTCAGAGGTTTTATATTTGTAATAGGAAATGTACACTGGATGTGAGATAGTGAAGAGTGAAAGTCACTAATTAGCTACAAGGACAATTCCCAACAAAGGCCTTAAATTACAGTCAGCTAAGCTGTTTTCTCATGTGGTCCCTGTAGCTTTCACAGCTAGTGAGTCCTTCAATCACACATGACAGGACTTCCACACTCGAAATCAAATCACAGTTGTTTTACTTCTGTTATTTAGAACTCCCATCTCATTTTGCCGTGGACAAAATTGTTCTTTATGTCATAGTGCATTTAAAATTTGGTAATACCTGTGAGTTAAAATAAATATTATAGCTATACCTAACTAACTTCTACAGATTTGATTGTTCTATCACAAAGCCCTTTCCCAGTTCCCCTGCAGGACTTCAGGAATTCACATCTCTCCAGAGCTCTTTGTGCCCATGGGTTGTACCTCCAGAGTGGAGAAGACCCTTTGTTAGGAAGGGAGGCAGAGGGGGACAAGAGGGTCTTACAGGTCGAGCTGGGATCAATTTCCACTCCGCCTCTGGCAAGCTGTGTGACCCTGGGTGAATTTTTTCCTTCCTCTGGGATCCTCTTTTCTTCGATTTAGCACAGAGTAGCCACACTGACCTTGCAGCATCCTGAGAATCAGAGATAGGACATGAAAGGCCTGTAAAAGTTCTCCCAAGAGTAGCTGTGATTCGTGTATGAATAATGGGCTTTTCATTCCTCCTTTTGTCTGTGTTCATCACATGCAAGGAACTAACTTCAGTGATGGTGATGAGGGAGAGATGGGAGTATACCTGGGCTAGACACCGTGTATCTGGAATATGCTTTTTTACTACTGTGTAATGACTCTGTCTTCCCTGGAGCAGGACCCAGAGTGCCTACATCTATAGACAGACACATTGGCATGTGGTGACAGCAGGTTAACCTCATGGCTTCCCTTCACATCCCAGCTGTGCTCAGGACTCGTAGAAGGGAGATTTTGGGCACTGACACTGCTATTTTGAAACCTGGACCAGGGGAGGGTGCCAGGGACTGTCACCTGGTGCATGGGGTGGAGCTTGTATTGATGTTGGTGTTTTTGTCCATCATATTAACACATTTTGAAACTTTTCTTCCTTCTGCTCTACAGGTCAATGTGGCTTCAGGAGGACCCCTTTCTCAGGATTGCCCTGCTTGCTCTATGGCCTGGCTGGCCCTTCAGGACCATTCATGGGCTGCCAGATACCTCCTCTGCCTGGGTGGCCTCTGGGACTTCAACCACTGCCTCCATGCACACCATTTGGTATGTTGATCTGAACAGTATGGACTGGCTTTTAAAGTGGATTCATCTTTTTTTACTCATTGAGTGAATAGAAAGAAATATCACGGATGGTACTGAGGAAGGAGACCCAGGCATCTGGGATTCCCTCCCCCTCTGTCATCCACTGTGCAGCTCAATAGAAGAGAGAACAGGCCAGCTGGCGCCTCCTGAATCTCCTTCCTGAAAATAACACGCTTGGTCTTGGGGAAACTCTCTGGAAGACACTGTTTTTACTTAAAATAAGATCAAACCAGAAACCTTTTCACATGTGAGTCCTAAAACTGTAAACCAGAACCCTTTCATATGTAATTCCTGAAACTGTAAACAGAGGCCTTTTCACATGTGAGTCCTAAAACTGTAAACAGGAACCCTTTCATATGTGATTTCTAAAGCTATAAACCTAAGATTCTTCCACGTGTAACATCTAAAGTATAAACCTATATAAAGGCAGAAACTTCCTTTGTTAGAGGAGCTGGGCTTTGGACAAATTATGCCCACGCTCCCGGCCAAATAATTGGGAAATCTGTTTCCCGCGGCTGTTCCTGCTACCGTACCACAGGACTTTACAACACAAGGGTAACACTGGCTGCGGACGTGGTTACTTTTCTCAAGTTTCTGAGGGCATGCAGTGGGTTGCGTCATCTCCCCATCACGAGCAAGGAAGCAGGTATCTCTTGTAGATGAGGAAAGAGATTGTTTATAGAAGCCATAAATTCCAATTTTGCAGGCATGTATGGAACCTTGACTATGTGGCCAGCTCTGTAAGGGATGAGACCCACCCTTGACTTGCAGCACTTCCTATGTCCTGCAGCAGAGACACACACACACCAAAGGGCAGGGATCTTGTGACAATCCATAATGGAAGCAGGAGTGAAGGGCCCCAGAGTGCAAGAAAGCAAGACGGATTCTCCTGGGAATAAACAGGAGGGCATGGAAGAGAGATAAAGTGGGGAGGTGTCACATGGGGGTTTGTTGAACTCACTTAGGTGAAGCTGGAAGGCAGCTTCTGGCAGGGGCAAGCAGTGTGAACTGGAGTGCGGCAGCTGCATGAAGGCCACAACAGAGCCACTATAGGAGAGCTCAGCTGACACAGTGTGAACAAGGGAACTTCCCTATGCCCTAAAGTATCCTCCTTGGAAGTTCCTTGTTGCCCTAAAGCCTTTAGTCTGTTATCTGTGGGAAGGATGAGTCTTTCCCTGGATGTGTGAAGGCTCTGGATCAGGGTGAATGAATGCCTAGAGGTCTGGGAAGTTTAACCTGGTTCTGTAAGGAAACCCTGTCTGCCTGAGTTTATTATGGCTCAAGGAGACTAACAGTGGTTCAGCAGAGCTGCAGCCTTGGCTTTCAGAATGAGACCGACTCTGGTGGGGAAGTGAAGGCCAATTCTGAGCAGCTTGGGTCTCAGCTCATTCCTGGTACCCTCTGCTTCTCACCTCTGACTCCCAGCTTTGCATATCTAACATTGTCATGTAAATTTGTCACCCTTCCCCGTGTCCCTGCTGCCTGAGCCCAGACACGAACTCTCAGTGGAGCTCAGAGCTTCAGCTTTCTTATAAATGAGCTGGGGATGATGTGGTTTATGAGGTCATTGTGAGTATGAAGAGACCAAGCCCGTAAAGAAAGCATTCTGCAAAATAGCTGATAGGTGTTAGACACTCACCCCTCTCACTGTTTAAATGAAAGTATTCCCACTCAGAAGATCATCAAAAGATGTTCAGTGAAGTTCATTAGATGAACCATAGGCTGCAACGGCTCAGGCCAAAATTTCCAATCACCGTTTCAAAAGATAAGGCAAAGCCCCTGTCTACAGGATTACAATTCAGATTCTACCAGATAAAAGAAAAGATAAGAATGTGTACATAAACTCCAAGACCTATATCTGAGACCTGTAGATAATTGCTTTCCATGGCATAAAGACGCAGATGCAGACACACAGAGAAGTATTTACCAGGGGCACAGATATTTTATAGAAGACAAAGTATATATAAAACAAAAGATCACATGGAAATGAAATGTGAAGAGGCCCCTGAGCTGTGATAGCCATGCTGTGGCTCCGACGTAATTTTGAGAATAATCCAATAAATACATATATATATTTTTTGAGATGGAGTTTCACTCTTGTTACCCAGGCTGGAGTGCAATGGCGCAATCTTGGCTCACCGCAACCTCTGCCTCCTGGGTTCAAGCAATTCTCCTGCCTCAGCCTCCCGAGTAGCTGGGACTACAGGCACGTGCCACCATGCCCAACTAATTTTTGTATTTTTAGTAGAGACGGGGTTTCACCTTGTTGACCAGGATGGTCTCAATCTCTTGACCTCGTGATCCACCTGCCTCGGCCTCCCAAAGTGCTGGGATTATAGGCGTGAGCCACCGCGCCTGGCCAATCCAATACATTTTATGCTCCCTGCCCAGTGCTGCCTCGTCTGTCTCTACTCTTCTGCAGTGTTTCCCCTAATAAAAGTTTGCAGTCCTATCTGTCTGGGCGTCTGCTTCCTGGAGGACCAGATGACCCCCCGGGTATACCAGGTGTGATTCCTCATACACTGTTCAAACCCAGGCAGACATTGCGGTGCTGGCTGCAAAAGCAGAGTTGCCCTTTGGGTAGTGTTAACTGGGACGGCCCCAAGGGGGCCTTCTGGGTCGGGGAGCATCCTGTATCAAGCCGTGAGTGGAGGTTGTGTTCATTCATTTTAGAAATAGTCCTTGGGCACCTGGTGGCTGCCAGTCACAGGGGTTCCTTGCGATATGATAGACAGGAATGTATCCCCATGAGGTGGCCAATTTATCTCAATAGGAAATAGAAGAGGGACCAGCAGTGTCTGTGGAGCCAGTGATGAGACCCTGCAGAAGCTCAGGGTTTGTACAGCCCTATCCACTGAACCAGCTGCCCCTAGTAGCACCAAGTGCAGGTAGATCTGACAAAAGCTGAGCTGGGAACAGACATTTCTCAATAAGGTTTTTGTCCCCCCACCATCTTTCTGTAATTTTTAAATTGTGGGATGGGCAGAGGTCAACGGTGAGAGGCTCCCTCTGAACAGGGCTAGAGAAGAGCAGAGTATGGCGGGTGAGGTTTGTAAGAGAAAGGGACAGGCAGAGAGGAAATGGGAGGGAGAGAAAAGGGCTCAGGGGAAGAACAGAGAGAGAGAAGGAGAAAGAGAGAGAGAAAGGAAGGGAAAAGGAGGGAGCAGAAACAGAAACAGAGAGCAAGGAACAAAGGCCCAGGTGAGGGAGCTAGGTTATATCGCTATTATTGTTCAGTTCAAAAAATGTTTTAATTTCCATCTTGACTTCATTGTTGACCCAATGATCATTCAGAAGCAGGTTATTTAATTTCCATGTATTTTTGTGGTTTTGAGCCTTCCTTTTGTAGTAGATTTCCAGTTTTATTCCACTGTGGTCTGAGAGAGTATTTTATATGATTTTGATTTTCTTAAATTTACTGAGACTTGTTCTGTGGCCTATCATATGGTCTATCTTGGAGAATGTTTCATGTTCTGTGAATAGAATGTATATTCTGCAGTGGTTGGGTAGAATATTCTGTAAATATCTGTTAAGTCCATTTGTTGTAGGGTATAGTTTAACGTCACTTTTACACTGTTGGTGGAGTGTAAGTTAGTTTAACCATTGTGGAAGACAGTGTGACAATTCCTCAAGTATCTAGAGATAGAAATACCATTTGATCCAGCTGTCTTGTTACTGGGTATATACTCAAAGGAATTTAAATCATTCTATGACAAAGATACATGCATGAGTATATTCATTGCAGCACTATTCACAATAGAAAAGACATGGAATCAACCTAAGCACCCAACAATGATAGCCTGGATAAGGAAAATGTGGTACATATACACCATGTAGCCATTAAAAGGAATGAGATCATGTCCTTTGCAGGGACATGGACGGAGTTGGAAGACATTATCCTCAACAAACAAATGAAGGAACAGAAAACCAAATGCCATCTATTCTCACTTATAAGTGGGAGCTGAGTGATGAGAACACCTGGACACATGGAGGGGAACAACACACAGTCGGGTCTGTCGGAGGAAGGCGTGGTAGGCGGTAGAGCATCAGGAATAATAGCTAATGGATGCTGGGCTTAATACCTAGGTGATGGGATAGTCTGTGCAGCAAATCACCATGGCACAAGTTGACCTATGTAACAAAACTACACATCCTGCACATGTACCTCTGAACTTAAAAGTTGAAGAAAAGAAAAAGTCATGTACTTTACTATGTGCATGTTTTGTCACATTTAAACACATATATATGTATTATACATAATAAATATAAAATATTAAATATATAACACACTTAATATATTACTATCATATTAAATAACATTTAGTATTAAAATATTAAATATATTATATATCGTTTACAAGTATATATTGTTTCAAGTATATAATATACATTATATACTTTAAAATATAAAATAATAAAATATAAATAAAATATATTTAAATGATCTCTTCCAAAGGTTAAAAGAGGCCAAAGTAAGTGGGGCTTAAAAACAAGGGCTTCTAGTGGTAGTTTTGGAACCTTATAAATATACCAAAAGCTGTTCAGGTATATACTTAAGATGGTGAATTTTACAATATATGAATAATGTCTCACTTAAAAATTTTAAGACAAGTAGCTGTGTGACCTTGGCAACTTGTTTAGCTTTTCCGCCTTGACTGATACATTGCACATTCAGCTTA